CTGAAAATTCAAAACTTCTTAAGCAGACGTTTGCTGTCGACTGACATGATCTCTGCAACAGGACTAAAAACACAAACAAAAAAGATGAAATGAAGACATGTTTTTCCAAGGAATTTTCTATCTTCTTCCTTCCATCTTCCCTTACTATGTTTTGCCTTCTAACTCGTCTGTCACAGCTTGACTCCTCTCCCTTTTCTTCTCTCTGGTTGTTGACCCTGTCCATGTCCTTGTCCTTCCATTGTAGGATATTTAACATTGTGTTGAGCTTTGGCTAAATACACCATATGCTTGCCAACAGATGGTTCATGAGATGCACTTCCAGTCTATTTCAGAAAACTGGTTGAACGTTGGTTGAGTTAATGCTTCACACATTATTCGTTAGAAAAGTTCAAGATTCACTTGGGAGCAATTTATCAATTCAGGACAGATTTAGAAGAAATATCTAATAGAAATATATAAAAAATATTATTGACATATCGTTTAAGCCCTTTGCATGTTAACACTTATACAATGAACTTTAAATTTTGTGGAGGTTGAGACAATTCAAAAAAGAGCTGTTTAATGTATTTTGATCAACATGATTAAAGCAACTGAAAATGTAGGAAAAAGCAGAGAGGCGTGCATAATCACTTGCATGTTGTGCAAAAGCATTTGGAACTTGTTCAACAGAATGAGAAACAGTTTTTTTTTATGTACACGTGTGACACAATGATTTGAAGTTTGCAGAAGTAGGATAATTTAAATTGTTCTGAGAAATGCACCCAACCTACTGAGAAACACTGTAAAATATTTAATATTGTTATTATGCATTAGTCAACCACAACCAAACCTCCTCACAGACTCCCGCAGACTGACTACTGACCAGCTCTCCACCTAACAGGACGGAAAGCCTCTAGCTCCTGGGTATTACTCCATATGAGAATGTAGAGGACATTCTGTTTAAGTTGGAAGTGAAAAAGATACGTCTAGATTCTGACTACCTTCCTGTCCAGAAGCTATGACCCTTTTCAGTTAATGAAACAGTCAACTGAGTAGCCTGAAGCCGCTTGGTTTCAGAAACCACTCATGTTAACGGTAGCTCTCTCTCCATCTCGTGCACTTGTTATAGTCTAGATAAATTTTAGAGACTCGGCACGAGTCCCAAGGTCATTATTTTACAAACACCAAAGAAACTTCTAAAGCCTCCTGGTTACTAGGCTCATGACCATTGATTTGACCTTAATCAGAAGAATTACCTCTCAATTGACTCAATTAATTTAACTGTCCTCCACAGCATCAATCAGACTTTAATATTTTATTAGCAAGCTTTAGTAAGGGAAAATTGACAAACAGCTTCTTCAATCAACAAATCAAGAGATTAATATATAAGAAATTTAGAACTCACACCTCCCTCCAGTACCTATACTGTGTCACCGAACTAAATAAGTGAGGCTTTGGGATGCAGTTCCACTTGTCCCCAGGTGTTGAAATGATCTTGGCAGCAGAAAACTTTAATATCCATGGTTAGAGTCCTGCCTTGGCAAGGCAGAATCCTCTTCAGAATAGAACCAAAGTTGAACTGATGTGTGTCCTCCATGGACTCAGTTCCTTATCACTCGGTGATCTTTGTCTGCTCCCCATGTCCACTGCAGCCTAGTTGAGATCTTTTGGGTTGAGCGTAGGGCAGTTGTCAAATCAGAATCCCAGGCTGTGGGTAAACGGATCCTGTTCCCTTCTCGAGGAGTGCGATGTCTTCACCTCCCTGGGGTATCAAGGCACAGCCCTCTGTCGATCCTGCATCTTCGTGTGGTCTTGACTCGAACACTGTGGAACAAAGAACCCCTGGTTTCTCTCTCTCATTATTTTTATACCTTCCATGTTTGGGTGTGTATGCATCGGCTGCTTACACAACCTTCTCCGAGCAACTACCATCCTTCCCTTGACATCAGGCACATATTGACTTTTAATTCCTTAGAACAGCATCGTTTACTTTTGAACTTCCTTTTCCTTGAAATATCCTTGCTGATGTTCTTATTAGCACTCGCGCTTCCCGTTCATCTGCAGCCATCGCCCATAATTTCACAACATTTCCTGTTTCTTCTGTGACTACAGTTTTTCCTCCCATTCAGCCTCTAGTTGTATAAGAGACTTTTACACTTAACTTGTAGTCGTTACTTTTATCCATTTATGATTTTTTCCATTGTTAAGTCAGGATTCCTTATTACTTTCAAACCAAAATCACATAACTCATAATCAACATTAAGTCATAGTGTATTTAAAACAAATATTACATCATTGAATCAGAATGCAAGATTACTTATTGCCTCTAGGTTTCTGTGACCTATTTTCTGTGTGTCCTGGAAAGATCTCAATCAGTCCTAATCTGGTTTCATGACGATATTTAAGTTTTCCTTATCTTACAACCCCTCAACTGTCATAAAGACACCATTGTCTGTCATGATTTGTATGGTTTGTGGTGGTGAGATGAGAATGCAGGAACCCAGGTTGTGAAGAAAATGAGAGCTCAAAACAGTCCAACACAGGCGGCACGGCAGAGAGTTTAGCGCACAGCTAATTACCGTTAGCAACTGACAAAATACTGAACATAGAGCAAGCTAACCAGGACTTAAACAGTTCAACTGGAGAGCCGACACACGTAATAACATTAGACGTTAGACATGCGACAAAACTGACATTAGACGAGGACCCGACAAGAGACAAAAACAACAGGTGGGTTTAAATACACAGGGAGGGTAATCAGGAAAAACTTGACACAGCTGGGATCAATCAACAGGGAGGACAGGACATCACAGAGACTCACGGGGAAACAAGGACCCAGAAAAAACCAAGAAATAAATACACAAAAACACAGATCGTCACACTGTCCTCATGGACCCAGTGACTTAAATGTAAGTATTTTTGGGGTGACTGTTAAGAGGTTAAAGGAAAATGTTAAATATTGGAACTACTGTCAAGCTTTCAACCGACCTCCGAGTATTAAAGCATTGATACAAAAGCGTCACAGTTTTAACTAGAGCTGCTGGTTGGTCTGCAAAGGAGGAACAGTTTGTCCTGCTCTCTATAATCTTTGGGATGTTGTAATGTGCAACCGTATTACAATTTTTCACTGTAAATTTTACTGAGTTTTTTTTACAGTGTAACTAAGGAACTTCCTTAACGCTTCCTAAGTAATTTTAGTTTTGTAAATTTGTCACTTCCTGTCTTTTACAATGCTCCAATATAAAATTTTCATTGAGTTCACAAATTCAACTATCAATATGTCAGAGTTGACACCTATTAAACACAGCAAATAACACAGGAAAGACAAGAGAAAGTTAGATTCTTAATACTTGCGAGGAGAACAGACAGAGATGTGCTTTCAGTTACAAATCTCCTACTGATCTGAAGCACATTTGCCTGCCCCTCTCTTTTTATTGTCTTTAGGATCCCTAATCACAGAGAGCGCTGTAACTCTAAAGGGAGGGGGAAACACTTCACACAGTCACAGCGCCAAGATTATCACTAACTAACAACACCGTCTATCTCGCACTAGCTTATCTAGTTCCTGACCCAGGATCAGACAGGACAAGTTGTGAATCTTCTCGGCGATGGTTTTATAGCTATCTAAGAGGTCAAAGCAGGCCGTCCTGTGAAGAGCTGTTGTCACTGCTCTTCTTCAGAGAGGCCCTCTAAGAAAGCAAACCAGAGTGATTAACAATACAGACATATTTCTTAAAAGATATGACTAAACCAAATAAGAGTACATAAACTAAGAACATATAAAACAGTATAACAAATAGTTGATAATAATACAATTTACCTAACACAATATAATTAACAATTGGTTTCTGTTTTATTTTGTTTTTCTCAGTATTGTGTCCCAGAACTCTGTGTGTTCTGGGACACACAGAGTAATTCTTAAGTGTGCAAACTTCAGAATTAACAGACCGTCATTAACCAGAAATGACTTTCTAGAGGATGAAGAGATCTAAAAAAAATAAATAAAAAGCTTTGTTGCCAGCTGATTTGGTAAAGACCAACATGTATAAGCTTGTTATCTTTCTGGAAGCAGCCTTGTTCTTGCAGGTTTCCTAGTCATTATTGAGTCTACAGATAATCCAGCAGTCATAGGTCTAAGTTGTGTCTTTGCAGACTGGACATATAAAGAGAAAATGTTTCCAAAATGTGCAGATAGACAAAATGAATAAAACAGGAGAGCTAACACTAACTGCTAACATCATGTGAAGGAATGCTCCTGCTAGCTTAATGGTTCTGACCCCATAATGGAAGCAAAATAATTTCTTAAATGATTTTGGGATTTTTCTTAAGGACATAATGACCATGACTATAATCATTTAATTTTATAATAGATTTTAGATATACTGTTTAAAAACCATATATGGAAGTAGGACAAGTGCTATAAATTAGCTGAAGAACCACAATACAAGCATGGGGCTGCTGTTTTATTCAGTTTGTCTATGTTAATGTGTGTCTATCCCTATCAAATCATAAATAAATGACCTTGACCGAATGGGGTTTTGAAACTTACAGTTTCTTTGTTGTTCTCATGCACCTTCCACTCACAAGTAGGATTGCCACCCGTCCCGTAAAATACGGAACCACAATTTGTTCCGTATTCTACAAATGTGTATATGTAATAATAAAAAAAATGGTCCCCAAGTACTTTATATAGTAGGCTGCCCCAGTCATTGTTTTACTCACAGTGTTGGTGTTGTGATATTTTGCCCAACTGCTTTCTGGGTAAAACAGACCAACCGACACGCTACCACCGTAGTCGCCTTCCACCCACCCACCCCCCGCTTTAAATGTATAGGGACTGGTCCCTTGGTAACCCTAGTCTTAGCACCCCCCCACCCCTGCCGCCCCCCACGCTAATGAGACTAGGATGGCGCGCATCCCTTATTTTGATTTCTGAAAGGTGGCAACTCTACTCACAAGTGAGTGCTGTTCTACTTATGTTGATTGTTTTTGCTCCGATTGTCCTCTTTTTTCACCTACAGAGGCAGGAGAACAAGGAGGTGTTGGTAGGAATTTTTTTTCTTGTATTTCCCTTCATTCCTGCCAGTAATCTTTTCTTCAGAGTGGGATTTGTTGTGGCTGAGAGAGTTCTCTACATGCCCAGGTGAGTGTGTTATATCTGGGTGAGAGACGGTGCAGAACTTTTATAACTGTCCTTTATTGTCTGTCAGAAACAAATATAAATAAACAGATCTGTTTATAAAAGAATATAAATGAAGATGCAAAATCAACACATTAGAGTCAAATATTCAGATCATTAGCAGGACTTTGGAGAACTTTACTGCTTTGAGGAGATAATTCAGACATTTAATTCAGGTGCTTTGAACCAGGGACACATGTAATATTTTGAAACAGATGATTTGCCGAAAAGCACAAAAATTATTACCAACTAAACACAGTATTATCAGCTCATCCCAGAAAGCTACCATTGCTCAATTCAGGGATAACTGGAAGAGTTTGATCGACATGCAAAGCCCCTCTAAAATGTTGCTGGGTCTTCAGTGTAGTCAGCAGTTTTCAAAACTTATTTTGAAGAGTTTCTTTTGTAAGCCAACTAATATCTTTGATCATAGCAACCTATGTTACACAATGTTATCCTGAAACTTACCTGACTTTTTGTTTCCTCTGTCTTTTCCTTCTGCAGTATGGGGTATTGTATCCTTGTGGCTGCTGGTCTAGGCCGGCTCTTTTCAGTTGCAGGCCGCTGGGGCACCACACTCCTCAGTGTCTTCATGTTGCTGCTGATCCTGCTCTTCTCCTGGAAAACCGTCCAACAGAACACCGTCTGGCTCTCCAGGGAAGCGCTCTTTCGGTGAGTGTGTCTCTCCGTTTCTGATTTATAATAGGTACAGTTTCTACACACAAAAATGACTCTATTGCCGTATTGTTGCCCTTTTCATCGAACATTCATATATTACATAATATTTAAATACCGTGTGTATTCTATATTCAGTCTTTTTTATGAACAAGCTCCCATTCAGTCATGAAAACATGAAAATGATTATAGGAATAAATTGATTATTTACCAACTAATCCTTTTCTCAGGCCTTGTGGTTGTGTCCTCATATTCCTGTTTACATGACTATATTCTGCAGACTACAACGTAAACTACAAAGAAATATAAGAAAAAATAAAGTTACATGAAGCATATAAAGCTGCACAGTAAGAGTGAATGTATGTCGCCCAACAGTAATAATGGGTTTTCCCCATCCAGCTTATGCTCGTGTCTACTTCCATCTAACTTTAAACATGCGCTGAAAATGTCCATCACTGAGAACTGGGCTAGACTTTAGAAATCTACTATACATTAGTTCATAGCCACTGAACTACCTATGAAGTAATTTTCTAAGTAATTATTTAGAGAAGTAATTTACAAAGTAAAATATTTATTCTTTAGAGCAGTATTTCTCAAACTTTTTTAGGTCAAGGACCACTTGCCTCATTTAACAAACACTCATCGGTCACTTGACTTAAAATTGCCCCTACAATAACACAACATCTTGACATCTATAGCCTGAAATGAAAATATTTGTCTTTGTTTCTTCTAATGTGAAGGGTGCTGCTTGTTTTTTAAGTGTGAATGGCCACAATGCTCTTGGCGTTTTGAGTTATTTACAGGTTTGGAAAGTATGGATTCTAAGCCCTCCAGTGATAGAAAACACATGGAAATTAAAAAAGTTATTTATTACAAGTGTTGTGTTGCACCAGCGAAAATAAACATTTTCTTTCAGCCAGTAGATAGCCCAACATAACTAATTTTACGTTAGGTGTTAAGATGCAGTTATTCAGTGTGGGGTCAGCTCTGTCCACTGCCTTGTCACTGCCTTGTCACTGTAATATTTTATTCAGCACAGCCGCAAACCTATAATTGCATGCTTGTGGCATACTATGTATCGTAACTTAACAGTGTTCAAAAACAGGTTCTGGAACTAACCTTGAGAAACCTTCCACCGGTGTCTGCAGGCTTTTTTTTTTGTGACCTGGCCTTTAGCCATTTTTCCATTATTATTTTTAAACACAATCGTATGGTAAGCTAACTGTAGCATTGCACTTTGAGCTCACGTCACAACAAATAAACGGTTGTTTACATGCAGTACCCCTGTCTGCGGGTCTGACATGGAGGGTTCGATGGCCTCGGTCCAGCTGTCCGGTTTGCTGTCCAGGCAAATTAAGTTCTGCAGCAAAGCAGCCATAAAATCCGTCGGGGATACCGATCACACGTACATTGTTCAGCATTATCGTTGTTTAAATCAGCACTATTTCTTAAAAAAATCATACTCAACAAAAGGACACAGAATGTTAATCTTTCTTTGAAGGATTCTTTTTTTCTTTTTTCTTTTTCTTTTTCTTCCTTCTATCATTTCAGCTCTGGTTTCAAGACTGTGCCTCACAATGCCAAAGTCCACTACAACTATGCCAACTTTCTGAAAGACAGCGCTCGACATGAAGAAGCTATTTACCACTACAACAATGCCCTCAGGTGGGACTCCATGTGAACTGAATTATTCCGTTAAGCTAGAATGTAGGCTATTTTGTATAAATTGAACTGAATTCTTTGTTAATTTAGATGTTACTGTATGTAGCAACAAACCTCAACAATGTCTTTTTCAATAAGAGTCAGCAATACTTTCAGCGAAGGCAAAGTTTTAACTTCTATATAGCTTCATACCATAATTGTAGTTATTTATTTCATTACAATTGTAAAACCAAAGGTAAACAGATTCTAAGAGTAATGACTCCACATTTTTGCCAAAGTTTGTGTTGAGTAGGGTCCACTGTAGTGAACTATTTTTTATTTACCTTTTGAGTTGGCTCTGAAAATAACATATAGTGGCACAAACTCTTAGCACATCACATGTATCCTTGAACACTATTATTAGTTTGGAACTTTTCACAGCTTATTTAAATGAGAAGAACATTGGTTAATTTGTCCTTATCAGTTTGGATGCTCACTGTTTCTGTTTCTTTTTTTCCTTTTCAATTCAGCAAAAAATATGCATCTCTGCTGAGCAACAAATGCTTTTTTCGCAGCATTCGTTAGTTTAAATGATATTCTGGGTTCTCATTTTCCCTCAGAAAACCTGCTTATGAGAACCTTGGTTTACTTTAGCTAGCAGTTTAATATTGCTAACTTGCTAAGCCTGGTGATGGGAAACAGATGTAACTGGAAGACCTTGTTGACAATTCTTGTAGCAGGCCTCCCCTCAAATCAAGGAATTTGGCTGTACTGATGATGGTCAGGTTTATTGAAGTAAACCATAAGTTTCACCGTAAGAGTTGTTGCACAAAACACAAAAGACAGTGTAAGGCACAAAACATGCTCTTACAACCGTAATGTTTAAAAAACTAAAAACATTCATTACTAACAACTGATTCAAAAACTGTACAGTATAAACCAAAAATCACAATTACAATTGCTCAACATTGAAAATATCCTATTTACAAAATAAACATACCTTTTGCCTCTATCAAGGAGGCCGCTAATAACAAGATACATTTTTAACACTGTTGGAACTTTTCTTCTGTTCTCTCTGTTGCCAAGCAGCAGCTGCACAACACAAACAGCGGAAGCTCTCCCATCAAAATAAAAGCATTAAATTAAAAAACCAGAAGTCAACTAACAAAATAAAGGCAATAAACGCCAAAAAAGGAACAAAACAAATAAGGAGCTTAACCTGGGGTTATTTACATAGTGTCTTAAAAACAACAAAAAATAAAATTTAAATAAATAAGGTTTTTTTTTTTTCATGTTTGTTAAATCCTATTTAACTTTTCAGCCAGTGGATCTTAAAACATCATGTTATGCTGGTTACATTTACAGACAATGCAAGGCATAAATGAACTAAGTAGCTGATTGCTAACATTTCAACACAGGCATAAAACTGAAATTTTAACATTTGTTCATTGAGAATGACAATGCTGTTAAATTTGATTTAATGATTTCAGTATAGATAAATTAAAAGATTTTAAATTGCTTAACATTTAAATTTAAAAAATTAAGGAGCTGTCAAAGTTCATTTGTAAAAGTGCAAAAACAATCTTTATAGTTAGAATGTTGTTACCATGAAGTGTTTCCCATAGAAAACTTGCTAAGCCTGGTGGTTGGAGCGCTGAGGTGGTTCACCAGTGGCCCACCGTGTTTTTGTATTAAAAAATGTTGACAGGAAATGTAAAAATATTACATTATTGACGATATTTAAACACAACTAAAAACAACAAAGAAAAAATACACTTAAAATAATGAATTTTGTTTTATGTATTCTAATAAAGCACATGGATCAGCCAGTGAATCTAAAAACATTATGTAATGCTGGTCACATTTAGAGCCGTCCTAATGCACAAATGAACTCAGCGACCGCTTAAGGCCCCCCCAGACCTGCAGGGGACCCCATAAATACAAACCTTTTAACACAGACCAGAGCTAGAATTTTAATATTTGTTACAGAGAATGACATTGCTGGTTAAATTTCATTTAATGCTTTTATCAGGGATAAAATTTTTTAAATGGTTTAATATTTCAGTGTAAGGTTTCTCACATTTTGTTTTGTTGCTACAATTTGATGCTATGAGGATGATTTTTGTGTTTGATCTTTGTTCAAAAATACATCTCAGTAAATTGTATTGATCAGTGTCTGCTTCTAAGCTCAGCCAATTAAACTACACCCTCTCCCCCAGATTTCACTAAATCTATTTTGAAACTGTGGTATTGGTGCTGATGTCCTTAACAGGAAGAGGGACCCCTAAATAAATTCTGCTCAAGGCCATTTACAACATTGAAACAACCTTGGAGCCACTGCACTGCACAGCTCTGCTGGATTGGAGAGACAGAGAGATTAAATTTATGAGGCATGAGTAGAGACCCAGATTTTCCATTTTGTGACAGCAGAGTTTGCAATAAGCGCCAACAAGGTTGTTTGTTTTCATAGCTGGGATTCAACACATGAGTTTTTCTTATCTCTGTTTTTCATATTGTCAGCAGTCCCTGTAAGTGCTCATTCAGTTTGACTGGATTGGAGCAGAGGTAGAAAGGGTGCAGCTTTGTCGTTTGTGCTGATGGTTCATAAACACTTCTTTGTTATCTGCAGAATGATTTTGGTTTGAACACACTGTGAAAGCTATAAAGACCAATTTAATGGAATTATCAAACTTTTTTGCTCTTAGATATAAACAGTCTGTTTACTTTAGAGTGTCTTATGTCATATTAAACAAATTCAAACAAATCTAAATAAACACCAGCTTCTAGATGTAAAAACGTTCTCTCCTACTGAAGTTTAATACAAATCAAATGGCAACAAGTTGAAGGCATTGCAACTGGATTTTGCTTCTCACGATATTACAATTAAACTTTTAACTTTAATTAATCTTGGACACATTCACAAACATCTTTAATGTAATAAACTAACATGCCTTCAATGTATGTCAGCCAAGCGCCTAAAATTACTCTGAAATTAGCAGATTTAACATCTCTTTCCAATTAGTTAAATTTACTTAATCTAAAGGTAATACTACCAAAATAAAAGCCAAAGTTTCAAAATAAAACACAAGGTACTTTTAGTTGAATAATCAAGCTTGAAACAACCATTTAAATGCATTTGGTCATTTATTAGTCCTTTATAGAGGAAATTTTATATGCTGTAGTTTGAAGATGCAAAAAGACAGTATGCTGCTCAATTATGAGGCGAGCTTGGCAGCTCCTTCATGGGCTAAGCCACCTGACCACCGGGAACACACAGATAAACTTTATCAAGCACACAGAGACATGAACTGCCAGAATACGTACTTGGCAAGCTTGTTGAGATGTAAATGCATGTGCCACTCATTAATTATTTGTTTACAAAGATATATCATTCGCTCCACACTGCATGCTCAACGCCCACCTCCAAAACGCGACTTTTTGTTGTAATATATTTGCACTCCATGCTTCCACAACAGAGCAAGTAAAGTATTCTTTCTCTGTTGCTCAGAGTGGTAAAGTATTCTCCAAAAAAACGAGTCCGCACGGGGGTGTAATTTAAATGCTGATACAGGAGCTGCTCTGCAAGAACACCCTAACACCACAGTTTGAATGGCAGATTGCAGGCACCAGCCTTGCTGAGGTGAACTTCAGAGGTGCAGTTGCGACAGGTTGCAAGGCAGCCAACTCGCAGAGCCCCCGAAAGGTGATTGGTGCACACCCGGCTTTGTGCCCTGTTCAGTGCATCAACTATTCAATTCATCAACTATAAACTCGCGATTCAGTCAGAATGGAGCAGTGCGCAGCAAAAATGCATGCAGTCTGAGGTTAATTTTGTATATATAAAAAAAAAACCTATTTAAAATAAAAATGAGGGGCGCTCCAATCTTACAATACACTGGGGGGAACCCTGCTGTAGATTTAATCTTAAACTATGAGTTTAATCTTTGTTTTTCAACTCAGTCTGTTCAAAAATACACCTCAGCAAATAACAATTATCAGTGATTGCTTTTACGCATGGCTAATTAAACTAAAATTCCACTAAATCTATATTGAAATGCTGTTATGCTGCGTTCAGACTGAACCTGTTGCACTTTGACACACATCTAGAGCAAGATGTCAAATGTCTCACTTCAAACACGTCAAAATCGCTCTAGATGCACATTGAGAGGAGCCGTTGTTTTTTGTTTGCTTCTTTCATTTAACGCACATTGGCACGAGTCTGTTGCCTTTTTTCCTTCTCCCAGTTACTTTGAACAATGTTTGATGAAATATTTCTTTATTTGCTGAAAACAAGAGGATGTGGTCATTTGGTGCCTCGCTGTATTTGAATTAACCAGATAATTCAAAAGAAACCAAATGAAAATTGAATGCAATTGAAGTTGTCAGTATTCTAATTTTAAAAAGTGACAGGTAAAATTAGATTATTACTGCATCATTTTTAAAAACAGACCAATCACAGAACCCTTTGGTACCCCATAAATATCTTTATTACATGAGGAATATTTGTCATTAGCGTTAACAAACTGCAATCCATCAGACAAATTGTGATGATCTGTGTTTTCTCTGTAGTTATTTTTGAGGTTTTCTGTGTTTAGTCCTGTCCCTGTCCTGTCTTCCCTGTTGTTTGCTTCCCAGGTGTGTCTCATTCCCTGATTACTCTCCCTGTGTATTTTAGTCCACCTGTTGTCTTTGTCTTTTGTCGGATCCTCATCAAACGTCGTGTGCTTTGTCGTCCGTCTGTTTCCCAGAGCTGTCACTGTTGGACTTTGTTTAGGAGTATTTATCATTAAATTATCATTTACTTCATGTCTTCCTGGACCTATCTGTGTCTATCTCCTCACCAACACCCTCAAACCATGACACAAATATGATCTAAAGTTACATAATGCTATGCCTTTGATCTCCTTGGAGCCCCAACATGCTTGGCAAAGTAAAAAAAAACAAACAACTAACATGAATGTGAGGCCACATGAAGTTAGATTGTAAGGTACAAAGCCAAAACAGAAGCTCTGTGTTTGATTGAATTCAAAAGCATTTATGTCATTTATTATCTACCTTGTCCATCTCCGCTGCTTTTGTAGCAGCAGGGGAGCAAATGGAGCTTTAGTTTCAAAAGTAACCTTTCAGTGTAATTTTTCAATCCTGCCTGACATTCTACATAACCTGAACAACCTTAGCAGTATACCCGTGGTTATTCAGGAATCCTACAGCCTATTGGTCTGAACACAACTTTGCAGTGTGTTGGATAAAGAACAATTTTTTATCCTTCTTATTTCCATAAATTACTGTTTGGGAAAACAAACCCTTGTTGCGTGACTATCTTTTGTTACACCTATGTCTTTTTGTTGATGAGCCATTGTTGTATACACTACAGAAAGTGGCACTACTAAGTGTTTTTCATATTTCTTGAGGAAAGTTTGTTCAGGATCTTCTGATAAAGGCAGTTTTCCTTGAAAAAGTCTAAGCTCAAACCTCCATTCCTTGCCTCACAGGTTATATCCCCGTCACGCCAGTGCCATGAACAATCTGGGAACTTTGACTCGCAGCCCAGATGAGGCAGAACATTACTACAGGAAAGCCCTGGAGATCAACCCTCATCATAACCGGGCTCTTTTTAACCTGGGAAATCTTCTCAAGTAAGATTTAATCACAACAGAGATCAAAATAAACAACATCTCAGGGGGAGGTCAGTGGTGGTGGGCCATGGGGGTGGGGTGGGTCAACCACAGATCTGGAAAAAACAAATTTTGGAAGTCTTGCATGCAGGGCCGGCCCAAGCCTCCATGGGGCCCTAAGTGAAATTTGGTTTTGGGGCCCTCTAGTTCTGCTAACAATGTGGACTGGCTGCAATCAGCAGTCTGATCATTAGATCATTCACATACCTGCTATAAACTTTCTGCATCTCTGGCAGAGCTGTTTACATTATATACATGTACAATATAGGATACATTTATTGTCCAACTGATTTATCGACCAGTTAATTACTGGGCATCGATTTCCTTAATTTTGGGTGATTGTGATTGGCCGATACTTACATGTGAAGCCCGTCTTATCCCCTAATCTTACCTTCGTCAGCAAAGGTTTATAAGTCAGTCTCTGTCCTCTTCTGCTCTACAGTGAGAGGTGTGACTGACAGAGCGGCCCACCAGGTCTGGTCTGAACGTTTACAGTTAATAATATTCACCCCACTTTGCAACTCAGTGACTTTCTTACTATATTTAGTGACATTTCAGACAAAAAAAAATTAATAATATCAGCCAAAATCAAAATGGGCAGGTCAGGCTTTTTAAACATCGGTAACCAGGGATCGGCCAGAAAACTGCAATTGGTGCAGCCCTACACACATATTCATGACATTCTTTAATTAAATTTTTCTTCAGCGTAACTCCACTGGCTAAAAATGTAATTGATACCAGGTGAGTCCTTTTTAAGCTCTTAAGATGATGTAAAAATAATGTTTGTTTTAGCCACAAAATGATTATGCTCAGCAGCAAACATATCCCCATCTACAGCATAGAGCAGCTCATCCATGTAGCAGCTATGTAGCCTGACGGGGGGTCCAAGAGCATTTTTCTTTTTCTTTTTAGTGTTAAAATAATTTCTACATACAAATATACATCAAATATATATATATATATATATATTATTGTAAAGGCAAATAACTTCACAGTGAAATTGTGTGTTTTTGCCAATATAATGACATAGAAATTATTACTAAAAAAATGAAGAAAAGAAATCACCTTCACTGAGGGGAGCCCTTACTGACCTTGGGGCCCTAAGCGACTGCTTAGTTTGCTTGTACCTTGGGCCGGTCCTGCTTGCATGCTGCATTGTTGTTGAGCTCATTAGTGCTGTTATTCCAACTGCAATACCATTTTGAATCTCAAGATCAGCTCATAGGTTCAGCAGGTTTTGTGATGTGATTTTGGAACATCATCAGCATATTTGGCTGCAAGCTGAACAAGACAAGATTCCCTGTGCCCCCTGACCCACACCACTCTACCTGCATGTGCTTATAACTGCACTGAGTTGAATTTACATTAATTACTAATTTGCTAATTTATAATTGTATTGCAGAGCTTTACATAGCCCATATGCAGTGACCTAAAGAGTACATGTGATTTATTGCATGTGATTATTTAAAAGTCTGATGTCAGAGTGGGTGAAAGACCTCCACAAGTGCTCAGTTTAAACTGTTGATGCCGCTGCCTACTGCTAAAAGAGCTGCTCTGACAAGTAAGGGCAGGGGCGAAAAGTAGGCGGGTATGGCAGGGTACTGCGTACCCCTAAAAGATTTAGTGGGGGTACGCAGTACCTGCAAGAGAGAGGAGCGGCTGTCTGCTGTAA